AATTGAAGGAATGGCCTGACAATTTTCTTGCCATTTTCCAGTTGGTCTAATAAAAGGTATCATTTTGGAACCAAGAGTTCTAGTTTTTTGTATGCTTCATCTTGGGCTCACACTATCACTGTCTCGCATGCCATTTTTCCCTCCATAGTCACACCTCCTTTTTTTAGCAAAAGCTAATTTCTCCTATGTTGAACCAATACAGAAAAATTACAGAATGAGTGTGATGTTTGTCACCAACACAATAATCACTCTGCTGATTCTCCTGCTCTTTCAGCCCCATCTGTTTATATTGTAAGCAACTTCGGGCCAGGACTATACTGTGTTTATACAATACCTAGCATAGCAGGGCCCTCGTCTTGGTTACAAGACACTATTGTAATAAACAATGGCTTGTGGAAAAAACAGTGGTCATAAGAGCAAGATGTGGTTACGATTGAAGTAATTACTGGGCAAAATACCCCAGATGTGTTATGTATCTAGTAGTTTTATCCATTGTTTTTCCTTGTGAAAGGCAAGGCAGTTTAGAAGCAGATGTAGAAGAAAATGGTGCAAAATATAATGCAATGGACGAAGGAAAAAGGAACGGCAGAAAAAAAAGGTTTACATCTACAGCACTGGAGCTAGGGGCACTAAATTCAGCATATGAGAGCAGCAGATAAGAGTTTAGGGATTACTCCTGCACCATATAAATCAAAGATAATTTTTATCATTGATTTCATAAAGCAAGATCAGATCCTAAATGACATATGCTAAAACTGGTAGAAGTGGCTGTCTAACATCCTAGGACAGGATTAGACTTGATGATAATTCATTGTGCAGATTACTCAAAGGTCTGAAGTAGTGGTGTTCAACTTTTGGCCCCATGAGCCAGATTAGTGATGTGATGCCAGGCTACAGGCTGAATCAAACCCTATACCAGCATTGGGCACTGTGGGGCCTTGGTTCGCCCTGTGCATAGGTATGGGTCCCTGGTACCCAGTCCCACTCCCTCCCTGCCCCAAATGCCAGGATTGGGCCCTTGGGCCCAGCAGTGCTGCTTCCTGCCCCCACCTGCTGAGATTGGGCCCTCATATGCTGGGATTGGGCACCCAGCCCAGTGCAGGGCCTGGGACTCTCCATAGGTCCAGAAATTTGGTAGCAAAGGCGCAGTGCTACCACTCCCCTGCTGCCAAAATTCTGGACCTGTGGGAAGACCTGTGAGCCAGATGACACAGCACCAAAGGGCCAATTTGCCCTGCTGTTTAGGGCTTGAGTATCTTTGGTCTAAAATGTTACTGATGAAACCTGAATCACATTGGCATGAGGTACTATCGAAAGAATTAGTCCATAATACTATCATTAACTGATTTGTACAATACCTATTACTGAAGTATTGCCCTTAACATCTGAGCCTTCAGTTGCCAAATACATAGCATCATTTTCTTCCAATACACATAAAATTATTTAATGAAGATTAGCTTGCAGGTTTATTATCTTTATATCTAATTCCCAGTCCAACTCAGCTTGCCTATTCCTGGGCTTCTTGCCACATTCCCTTTTCCTCTGTCCTGTACTATTGAAATGTAGAATTATCTACAGTTCATAAAAGAATCAAATACCTTAGACTGTTGTGTTCATCTGTTATTAATGGACAGTAAATGCAAACATGAGCTAACAAAAGGCAAAAGGATAAGCATATTTAGGCCAGACCAGTTCCCACAGAAATAATTTAGAGGCTTGTCAAACAATGCTTCAAACACAGAAGAATAATGATTTCCTATAGATTCATTGTATATACTCTGGCAATGTAACTTTTGCTTTATATAATATTTTTAACTTGATTTTTAATTTCTATTGAAGGATCTCAAAGAGATTTACAAATACTAATGAAATTGGACTCGCAATGCCCCTTTGAGGTAAAGAAACCGTTCAAAAATTTGTTTACAACACAGTAGATCCAATTTTATTTCCCTAGCCTCTGTTTGGTTTTTTTGCATTGCTCTGGCAATATAAATATCAAGCCACCTGACATAACAAAGAAGCCAGATTTTCTTATTACCCTCACTTCTGGAACCCAGGCTACCAGAATGGCTTCTGAAGTCTACTGCAGCTGGGTATTCTTTAGAGCAACCCTCAGCTGGCCTCAGTATGGGGAAGGATGTAGAAATGTCTTGATGTCATTTTGAACACCTCAGCTGTCAAACCTAACACCAGTGCAGCTGAAAATCTGAGTGAAAATATTAAATTAATATTTCTTTCTTTTTATCTGCAAATATTAGTAAGCGCATTGTGGCATATATTCAGTTAATTATTTAACTGTCAATCTTTCTGATAGATCACCCCGGTCATATAGTATATTTTATACCTGCTTATATGTGTGAACCTTTATAAAACTACTTCTATCTCCAATCATAATCAAGTTTGTTTCAATGCAGTTCTAACCTCATTTTGTAATTAAATGCACATCAGCTGCAGGCCTCTGAATATTCACATTTATGTGATCATTTTTACGAACACCTTTTTGTTGCATAAAAAATTAACAAGATATAGTGCGAATGCATACGGATATTTCCCTGAACTAACCACACAGTGGGAGAAAATGTCCCTATTCCTACCAATGGCAGCTTTGGGGCTCTGTATACAAGGTTGGTGAGTGGCAGGATTTCACCATCTACATACAGCATCACTGAGACATACAGGGTGCTGACAGGTGTTCAGGCCACCACTCTAATTCATGTCATTTTATATAAAGTGCCATGACTTAGAGCCCTCTCCCCCCGATATTTGCCTGTTGAGTTGGGGTGGGGAGGATTGAGTTTGTCTGCAGAAGCCCAAGGAGCTGCCTCTCTCCCGCAGACCCATGCCCCTCCCAGCTCCGGTGCTGTCATCATCCCCCTTAGGACTGTCTGCAGGAATGGAGGGGGGATAGGTGAGGGAGAGCGATCAGCCCTGGCAAGGTTGGGGGACCAGGGCTGGGGTGGGGGGAAACTCCAGCCTCTCCCAGCCCATGGTGGGAGCTAACAACAGGGCCCAGGGCATGGGAGCCCATGACTGCCTCCAGGTTAGCTCCCTGAAGCCACAGCCCCCATGCCCTGAACCCAGGGCACCCTCACTCCCAGCCCAGACCTGGTGCTGTCTCAGGGGCCCCACACCTGTCAACCCGCAGCACCCTGCACCACGTCCCTGTCTGCCTATCTCCTCTCTGCCCCCGTCTGGGTGTCTAGGCCCCATGCCCCATACTTCCATCACTGGGGCCCAAGCAGCCCCATAGTGCTGTAGTTTGGAGGATGCATGGGGCAGGTGCAGCTGTCAGGGATGCGGCCACCCTGGCAGAGGAGGTTGGAGTGAGCCTGAGGCTAGGACGGAGGAACCAGCCACTTCCCAGGCTCCTGTGGGAAGAGCTGAGCCCTGAGTTGCCTGCACCTGCTGCTGTTCAGCCTGTTCTACTGGGGAGCCCTTGCCATGGGCCGTGTGGGTTCAGGGATCTGGACAGGTAGGGGCACGTGCCCCAGCCAGAGCAGAGCTGGGGTCTCTCTGAGCCTCACAACTTGTATAGCACATTCATCCCCAGCAGGACTTTGACCCACAGGGAATCACAGCTGGGCATGGTGGCTCCAGTAGGTCCTTGGCCTGGACATGGGCTTTGTGGGACCCTGTGGCATGATGGTGCGAGGACCAGAGCGTCCTACTTCAAGGCCCCCCTCCCCCTCTGCTGCAGCTGGCTGCCTCTGCCCTCATCACAGGGAAGCAGCAGGAATGGGATCCCAGGGAGAAGCTCTAGGCCCTGGCCTCCCCCCCTCTCCTTCCTCCCTGAAGATAGCCCTGGGGGCCGGGGCTGGGCTGCTTCAGCCCAGGCCGAGTTGTGCCACAATTTAATCCTAGGGAACACAAGTTCCCTAAAGTGCTCCAAAGTGCATCACCTTCATCTGATCCCTTATTTGATGATGGTTAATTTGTCTCTTAATTGGTCACTCTGCAGCCATGCACAGGTGCCACAGTACAGTTGTAGAGCACTTTCAAGGGGCTGATCATACAACAAACTTTGATATGGAGGACAGCCACCAAATGGGATGAAAGAGGAGATGTTTACTGGTAGGTCAGAAACATCAAGGAAAATCCTACTGTTCCTAAAAACACGAGTTGTGAGTGGCATTCTTTCCTTGTCAACTTGTCTTACAGATAGATGTTCTATTGGTGCTCATGAGAGCATCACTTAGAGGTCATGAATGGGATATAACCCTTAACACAACAGCACATATGGCTAGAGAGGCCCCATATTCATCTGGACACTATATCTATCTGTTTAAATCATCAGAACTTACTACTTTATTTTTATAACCCACTTCTGTGTTAGAACCTCCCATGTCTTCTTTGTGTAACGACATCTGTGAGGCTGTTACTGACTCTCTTCCCTGCATATCCTTGGAAATTGTTTAAACAAATATAATTCCTGGAAAGCAACATCTCATTATCCCCCTGTCTCTTTGACTGTTCTGGCTCCCAGTGACCCTTTTTGTATGCACACTTCTCAGATCCGTAAAATAAGAATCCCAGAAAAATGTGGAGAGACTTACATGATTACATGTCTTGCTTTCCTATAAGCTGATAGTAAATATTTTGCCTTGGTTCAAAATGATAAGATGTGCACAGAGAAAGGCATTTGTACATATTCTCACTATTTCCTTGGATGACTGGGAAGAGCTGTTTAATACTAAGACATTAATGAAGGCAAACACAAGCATCAGAAATGATTACTTGGTTGTTGTTGGCTTGGGCCCATTTCAAACAAATTGTCTGAATTACTATTGTCAAATAGGGTAATCTGGAAGTAAGGACAAAGTGAGGAGACTGTTACTATAATGTTACATTGTCATCTGTGAAAATGTATGTGGATTTTATTAGACTTGGTTCAGAGAAGCAAAGCACCCAAGGTTTTAATTATAGGAGAGATTTGCTGTTCCATAGCAACTTCAGTCTGAGGATCTCATTTACAAACCTAAATTAATTTATTTTTCCAACAGCCCTACTCAAGCACATCTGCACTGTGATTGCAGTTTTACAGATGAAGAAACTGAGGCATGGATAGGTTAACTGGCCTTCCCAACAGCACACAGGTACCCCATGGCAAAATGAGGACTAAAATCTGGACCTCTGACTCCCGATCTGGTGTTTTAGCCACAAAAGAAAGTTCATCGGAAGTTTAATTACATTTATTGAACCTCCTAAATTTACAACATTAAAAAGGAAAAATTACCGGAATGGATTTATCGTATATGTGATGTTCCTTCATTTGGCCAGGCTGGAAATCCTCTAAGAACATGTTTTTATCTTTCATCCCCTCAGCTTCTCATCCCAGTTTCAAATAGCGCAAGGAAATGAAGGAAAAGATAACAAAAACTTATTTGTCCCTTCAAAGAGGAATGCATAGTTCTAGTGGAAATGTTTGGTGAAGTGTTGTTCAGATTTTATTTGACCTGGTATACCCTTCACTAATTCTTATCGGTGGTGGTGCTTGTAAAAATTGCAACATTAGAACAGAAGAGACTGGTTCAAAAACACACCTACAAATGCAGTAGGGCTAGATCTTTGGGTATGCTAATTCTCCCAACTTTCTTTAACTTGAATATTTCTCAGTAGGTAGTTTAGATCTCTAAGACTCAAGAGGCAGGTTTATAAAATCATCATCGTCATCATAATAATCAGTTTTTGGAATATTTATCAACCGAAAAGGGCCTAGTCAAATTTTGAGCAGTAGTTTGGCTTTGTTGCCATCACACTACACAAACACACACATGTTCACACTAGAGATATGCCTCTTGTTCATCTCCAGCTGGAATGAAGTTTGAAGACCATCTGTTTTAGTTCCTTTAAGCAAAAACACATTGCACCAGCTGTTGGTTAAAGAAAATGAGATAACTGAGGCTAAGCTCAAACATGGTGTAAATGGGATCAGTTTTACAGAAAGCATTGCAGAAGGCACCCACATATACAAATGCTGAATTTGACCCAGGAACTTTTACACTCTCACTGTCTCCAGCATTGCCTGTAGCACATATTTGTGGTTGCCTGTGAAACATTTTTCAGCAGCTCTTATCCCCCATTTAGGATGCTACGATGACATTTCTGTCCTTTCTTGTCCCATAGAAAGCTCAGACCTGAGCTGTGCCATCCCAGTTCAAAATGGTAGAGTAGCTTCATAATTATCACAAGGTCCCCTGGGAGTTCTACCACAATCTGCTCTGCAGCATTTGATTCTGTTCTGCTGTGAAATAAATCAGGGCTGGCCTTACTCACCAGAGATCTGATCCTGTGAGATACCAGGTGTGATGTCAGTTGTCTTATGGATGGTATCACCTGCCAGTAAGGTAGCCCCTCCCCTCGACTCGCCTCCCACAACTTTGCTGTTAAATTCTCATGAGAGGGTTCTAGTGGAGATCTTCTTAGAGGGGTTCCCTGACACGGGTGTACTCACAGTTGTTAGGAGCAATGTTCCACGGGGCTCCGCCTTCCCTACCCCCCGTCCACTCGCCAACCGGTCCTGTGCTGGTCGGATGTTAACCTCGGTCTTTGCAGGCTTGCCCCACAGTAGGCCTCAGATAGAGGGAAGAGCAAACAGCTGAACAACTTAGCTGGCTCTTTTCCCTTCTCTCTCTATTCCTTGGACTTCCTTCCTGTACTTTAGTGCCTTTTCTCCCTATCCTCTTCAGAAATAATATTCTCCTGGGGAGGAGTGGGATGCGGAGCTGCCTTCCCTTCCCCAGTGATCTCCAGGGGACTCCGAACCCCTCCCCTGTTCTACTTCTCCTAGGGGAAACGCTGGTTTCTCCTGACCCGCCTTCAGCAAGGAGCTTCTGTGTCTCCCCTGCTGTACTTCTAGGGGAAGTGTTGGTCCCTCCTTGCCCGCCTTACACAGGGAGCTGCTGTATTTCCCCTGTTCTGCCTCAGTCAGGGGCTCAAAGGCTTCCCCTGCCTTGCTTGCCAGTACTGCACAGGCTACAGCGTGCCTCTTCCCGGCAGGAGCCTCAGGATGCCAGACGTGCTGCCAGCCATCTCTCTCTCTCTCCGGCTTCTCCTCCCCACGGGTCCTGTCAGGGTTTTTAAACGTTCCTGCAGCGGCCATGCCGGCCACCTCAATTGGACCTGCTGTCTCCCGCACAGGGAACAGCTGCTTAAATAGCCAGCGTAATGCCCACTTGCGTGGCTGCAGCTGCAACTGCAGCTGCCACCGCGGTCCCGGCTCCGGCATCGCCGAGTCTTCCGGAGGTAAGTTCCCCCCTCGGGGCGTCTCTTTCTGGGTTTTGTGCGCCCCACAGTTTTCCCCCGCCTCCTCGAGGCTGTGGTGGCACGACGCCACCACACCAGGCATCCTCAAATGTGATAGATAGTGCTCCAGTACGTGATCCTTAATGTCTACATTTAGATCTCTCATTCTTGTCTCTTCCCTCCAGGGGCATGCTGCTTCTCCATCTCTTACTTTCCATTGAGTCCAGCATTCAGATTTAAATTCTCCAAATGTTTTCCCTACTGCCAAATTATGAACTCTTCATTTAACTAATAAGCCCAATCATTCTGAGTCTGAGGACTGAAAAAAAATCCTTGAGTTTAATGGATTTAAATTGATTCTGAAAATTATTATTCCTTGCAGCAGATTGAGTAGATGGCAGGTAAGGAGGTCAAGGTGCATGACAGATACATTTATCACAGAAATATTTGTCTCTATGTGATATCTTTTAGGTGCAAATGGCTCAGAGGTCATCTGATATTAGCAACTGGTGCCTGTAACAATTGTAAAGTGCACAGAATTATTAACAATCAAGGCCTCATGCTCCTATCCTCTAAGGCAGGCTTCTCTTATTTCCCCACTTTGCAGATGGAGTAACAAAAAGATTGTATAAGCACACTTTTGGCAGATCTGATTATAAAACCCAGGTCTCTAATAAGGGTGAAGATTCAGTCTTCACCCCTTTACCTGCTAAACCTTTCAGGATGGATGTACCAGTTTATGTTGCTGTGTTGTAAGCCTGTAAACCACACTCTCCTCTGGAGCCAAAAATGGATTCTAGGAAGTCTGAGTCCTAATGGTCCTGAGAGGCTGTTGTGTACCCCATTGTTAAAGGGTTTGTCACAATCTCTTCTACCAATGGCTCCACAAAGAATGTAATGGCTTGCTATTGCTAGCAGGTACTCTTTACCTCAAAAGGTAACCATTTGTGAAGTCAGACCAAAGGTTCCAATTTCAAACCCTGCTATAACCCATGGTGGGGTCATTTTGAATATGTAATATAATTTTGGGAAAGAAATCCATGGATTTTTTGTTTTGTTGCTTATAAACTCTTAAGTGACATACAGAAGGTATTTTAAGAGAACATTAAAAGCTGTCAAGCCAAGGGCCCAAAAGTATGGAAATGCAACATTTACAGTTGCCCATGCAACCTTAAGAGTGCTGTCTTGCTTTTTAACTAAACCTTTGGTTGCATGTTCACTTGCTATTTCTTCTCTAGTATTCCTTCCTCACAGAGGAAGGGCACATCTCTTCTCTAGTATTCCTCCCTCACAGAGGAAGGGCACATCTCAAAGGAGAGTTGCAAGAAAATAAAGGAAGGTCTCATGATTAAAGCCTTAAAGTAGAAACTAGGAAAGAGAGGTCCCATACTTAGCCCTCCAACTGGCTTTTTACACAGAAGAAAGAAGCTATCATATGAGACTGGCTTTAAGTTTGGTGATTTGTAATTTTTCAGTGTTTGATCTTGTAACTTTGCTATTTTAATGTAATTTTAAGAAATATAGGCAGCAGTAAGTGCTGCTTTCAGGAATGCTGGTGTAACTCCATGGATTACTGAAATACTTGTACCCATGCCCTCAGAAATGATTTTCTTTAAAAGTGTTTTTAGAATACTGTAGGAAGTGACTCAGGATAATAGCTAGTCTAATGAGCTATGTTGGCTTCCTGGAGTCTTTTAAAAATAAAACCATTTACAAGGAAAGGGAAAGTCTAGGAAAGAAAATAAAAAACCCTAGTGTATTTGAAGATACTTAAATCTGACATAGTCCAAAGGATTGAAACCCTTCACCCATTGCCTCCTCCTCAGGCATTCTGTAATGCGTGCCACCGATAACACCTAGTCCTGCAGGGTTGTTCTGTGGGATTTTTCTCAAGCTATTTCTCTGGCTTTTTAACATTACTTAATCCAGCCTGTGTATGATGGAAGCCAAGATGCTGCTGTCCCACAAAGCTCTCCCAGGACTCTGGTTAACCTGAATTCATCATCTAGTTGTCCGTGAAAAATAAAATGAAGCTCAGTTAATTCTGGGAGCAGAGGGATGGAATAGGATATAGCACAAAAATATTCTCTAGCTCCAGTATTATGTGTGTAAAATAATTTTAGTTTGTAATGAAATACATTAGCTCAGATTCCCAGGTTCACTCAACTCTATGTTGCTTAACTGATGCAGATGAACCAGAGCCTGGCCACAACTTTTTAGCCAGGACCAAATGACATAACTAGATACTACATAATTTACTGGCAGTTCAGGGGACTGAGAAGCAGGTGTTGGATTGAGATCTAGCTAACCTCAGGCTGTTTTAAATGGAGCTAGACCTGGAGCTGTTGTAAATACCCCTCAGAATCAGGGACGGCTATGCATTTACCTACCAGTCCCTTGCTCCTACTGAGTTCAGCTTTTAAAGTATGGTAAAGAGATTCTGGCTTTATAGGTCTGATGCCAAGCTCAAACTATATCACCAGTTAATGGGCCTGTTTCCTCACTATCTTTCCTATTCCTTAACTCTTATACTTGAGCAAAATTAGCATAAACCAAACCTTCTGAACTATATAGCATTTTGCATAGGTATAAATGATCATACAAGGTGAACATGCCTACGCCAGAGGTTTTCTGCACAGCCAACTAATCAGCTGCACAGTAAACGTCACGTGTCTACATGTGCACCCAAAGTAAATTAATTTACTCCGCAGCAAGATAGTACTTATAAATACAAGTACTATCCTGCTGTAGAGTAAAAAACTCAGCAGCAGCACATGTGTAGATGTTGCCCCAACTAGATGGGGCCCAAGGATGCTTCAGCGAGGGGGCTGCCTGCCAGCTCACCCTGCACTGAGGCACCCTGATGTCCCAGCCAGCCCCTCTGCAGCACATTGAGCTGGGTCAGAGCATCCCCAGTCTGGCAAGCAGCCCTCATGAATGCTAATGGCATGTATAGATGTGCCCAGGTTGAGCAGAGGAGAATGATAT